AATTAGTTTCAGTTTTGTTTTGCTCTAAGTCACTCCCCCTTTAGAGTGACATCACAGCACAGCAGACAGCCTAATAATAATAATAAACAGAGGTGGGGCCAAGTCATTGTTTTGCAAGTCTTTGACCTCAAGTTAGAGTCAAGCCCCAAGTCAAAGACAGGAAAGTCCAAGTCGAGTCTCGAGTCACTGGCCCATAAGTCCAAGTCAACTCCAAGTCGTCTGCTTTGAGCTTCAAGTCATTTCAAGTCTTTAAACCAAAGTAGAAAATACACTTTAGATTTTTGCAGTTTATATGAGTTTTTCACAAAATTGTACTTAAAAAGTCAGGGCATATTTATATAAGTATTTATATCAGAGGTACTCTGCACTGAAATCATGTTCTCTGGAGTTCCCTCTGTATTACTGTATTGTACTGTATATAACTGTAGTAAATTTGAGGATACCACTTCACAGTACAATACCATCCAAGGGTGACAAATAGAGACGTGGGAGGGACATGTTCCAGTTTGTTCCTAAAATTAAACACAGCATTTGTCAACTGTAAAGAGAAAAGTATCTTCTAAAAACATGTTAATTTTAGAAGCATCAAGTCTTCTCAAGTCAGAGGCCTCAAGTCCGAGTAAAGTCCCAAGTCACTGACCTTCGAGTCCAAGTCAAGTCCCAAGTCTTAGTCTATTTTATCAAGTCAAGTCTCAAGTCCTAAAAATTGTGACATGTGTGAATCAAACAAAACACAACTCCAGATATCTGTTTGAGGAGCTTATATAAAACTGTATAACATGGCTAAAAGCTAACAGGAGTTATTTTTGTGCAATATAGGACCTTTAAATCAAACACAGACACAAATGCGCAAACACTTACCTTTCGCTTATTTAGCACAAATAGAATAGTCTGCATTTCCACTAAACTAGGCTAAAGTTCAGTTCAGTTTATTTGCCAAAACCACACTGGAAAAAGGTGAGAGCAGCCCAGAAGCACAGCACTCATTCATCCATTCACAACAGACAGAATAAAAACACAAACCACATAAAAGCACGTCCTTCTGTGTCGCCAGGTTTGTTTTGGTTCATTGGGCTCCTCAATTTTGGCTTCTGCTCAAACTACAAAGCCATACTGTGATTGGACTGAATATCGTGAGCAGAGGTAGTAGTGTAGCCAAACATTGTACTCAAGTAAGAATAACATTACTTCAAAACAATATTACTCAAGTAGTGGTCAAGAAATTACTTAAGTAAGAGTAAAAACATATTTGGGAAAACGACTACACAAGTAGCAGTAACTAAAAGTAACTTTCAGGATTTGACACTTGATTTGTAATTTAAAGGACTAAACATTAAATAATACACAGAATCTGGTATTTTCTAAAGGACAGACAAAAATTTGACAAATGAAATCAGATCTGATGGAGCTGTAAGAAACACAAATATTCAGATCATTTCATATTGTCACATAAAGCTTTTGTCACTTAGAGTTACTCACAGTGGGAAGAGGAAGCACAACATTTACTCAAGGAAGAGTACAGTTACTTTAAAGGTTGTATGGAGGATTTTTTTTATTTTTTTTTTTTGTTTCAAGTTGTCAATGATAGCATTATAGAGGTGCAGTAGCCTTGTAATTATGATGACCAAAAAAAAGAGAATAAAATTCATCAACTCTGGACGTGGTGGGGCCAGCTAAACATTTGCCAATAGATAACGACATTGCCTCGTTATCTGTTAGCTGACAGGCTGTCAATCAATCTCCCTACGTTTCTAGCGTAACTGACTTGCCTGCACGCTGCCGGTACGTGGTTTACGTACGCCTGTCACGCAGTCCACAGACGCAAGATGCACAGACGCTGTTTACTCCACCAACGCAACAGTTCTTAGCGGCTTTTTTTGACCTATATCTTCCTCGCAGTTAGCACAAAGTTTGTTGCAATGGCAGACAAAGAATCCAGGAGCAGTTCGCCGCAAAAGAAAGTCCGTTTTTGAGGTCGCTGAAAGAAGAAGACAAGGGGAAAAGCAGCGAAGCCAAACTAAGGTGATTCTTGAAGATTCATTCCAGCGATGGCGCGACTGAAGCAGACGCAGGGTCTAAAGACTGACGCACTGGTCGCCAAATTATTCCTGGACAGGTCACTTCTGCTTATTATGAAAACGTACTTTATTTCCAAGAGCTAGACAAACGTTTTTCAGGACACGAAAGCGATATCCTATGTCTGAAAACGTAATTTTCAAGGCAAAGAAAGAGTCCGCTTGCTGCTGCGTGTTGTAGCTAGTTCATTCGCACTGAATCTCCGCGCACCCTTCTCTGCTCCCCTTTCCTGCTCCTGTCCCCGCTGCCCGTTCCGCTCTTCCCGCTGCTCCTCACTTCTCCGGGCACGGAATCTCCGCGCACCGCTCCCCTCTCCTCTCTCCTCTCCTCTCTCCCTGCTCCGCTCTTCTCCCTGCTCCTCACTTCTCGTCCGCGAACGAAATGTCCGCACACCCGCTCCCCCCGCTCCTCACTTCTCCGTCTTGCCTAACCAACACTGTAGTTAGTTGTTTACAAGTCATGTGCAGCTCACCGGCTGTAAACAAACCTGTTTCTGGCGTAAAGAGGAGGCGGGAGGAGGCGTTTCTACGTAGGAGCTGTAGGGGAGGGGGGGTGGTTTCACGCATGCGCAACATTTGAAAAAGGACAAACAGTCGCTGGATTTCTCGTTCCTTGGAAAATCCTCTATAAAACCTTTAATAAATGAATTAATCAAGTAGGGGTAAAAGTATGCTGCTGGAAAAGTACTATAAGGGTGCACTCACACTAGGACTTTAGAAATTATGCCCAAGCACAGATCACCCCTAAAGCACTCAACGTTTGTCCAGTGTGAGCGGAATTGAACCATGCCCAGGCACGGCACAGATGGGACTTTGGCCCAATTGGAGAAGGTGGGCCAAAGCACAGCAGGACTTCACTATACCATCCCTGTCAGGTGCGCTGATGTTACTCATACGAGGAAAACAGTGAATAAAATCTGTTCCAAAACATACAGTGAATCCGTGCTCACCTTCAATAAAGGACTATGATAGAAGTTTCGTCGTCGTGGCATGGTTCTAAAGTCCTAGTGTGAGTACGCTCTAAAAAGTAAAATTTCTATTGAAAAGTACTCAAATGTAACCTCTGAAGGTGAGAAACTTCCATACTTACATGCTAGCCTATATAATGATTTTGAATGGTTGGATTAAGCAAAAAGTACCTGCTGGACAACTGGGAGAATGAAGCATTGAAGCACTGAATGTTTTTATGTTGTTTTTTGATTGAAAAAAGATACCAGGAGTTCTCATCCGGAGCACAGCAGGTTTGATTTAAAAAACACAGGTGTTCCTCTAAAGGGCACATTGTAAGAAGCTTATAATTCAAAGGTGTTCAAAGTGTTTGAACTCGCACTTATATCTTCATCAGGGATCTTTGTGGTTTTTTAGTTGAAACAGGTGTTGTAATCGTGATAAACCTTTGGATTTGGGTAATCTTTGCTGAAAATGCCAATGAGTTACACATCAAAACATGTTAAAGGTGCATTGTGTAACTTTCTAGGTGGATGTCAAATACTTTCCCCCATGGAGATGTTATTGCTTTGTTTGGAATGTTCTACAGTATGGTATAAACCTTTCTATCTTCATGGAGATTAAACCAGACATTACAGGTCAGATCTGTGGAGAGGTGACCCCGCTCACAATGAGAAGTATTCTCACAATCTATGTATTTTATATAATTGAATAAATGTAAAGATAGAACAGTGTAATGTCATACTGTGGAACATTCCAGACAGAGCAATGACAAATCCATAGAAACAAGAAGGTGATGAAGCCCCAACCAGAAAGTTACAAGGTGCACCTTTAATTAAGTGTTTTACAAAATGAGAGAAAGTGTGTAATACTTGGCAACAACTCGTAACATTTAATCTGCCTAAACTGGACTCAATTAGCAACTAACAATGCTACTTCGACTGGGGACATTTTCAATAACCACATTTTAGCGCTAATGAGCCCAATTACCGTGACACCGTATGCGAATCCGTGGTTAACGTTGGACTGATTTCTCCTCTTCTCTTGTTTTTCAGGCTGCTGCGGAATAAACCATGGACAAACCTCTTCAAATCCACCGTGAATGTCTCCGCAACACAATAGCTGTCATCGCTACAGAACCATACCGGGCCCAGTCTGACAAACTGTGCCGCTGTGACATTTAGCCAAGAAATCCCATCTGATCCACTGGCAAGAACAAAGACAAGTTTTCCTACCGCGAAGAAGACGAGATAGAGCGGAAGTACTCACGGGGAGTAATATTGATAAGTGAAAAACAGTGGATGGCCTTGAATATAAAAGCAGTTTAATGACTTCCAACCGGGCGGCTCAAGTTAATTTAATGGAAGAAAAGAGACTTGCCGAAAGTAAAAAGTCCACCTCGCTCAAATAAACAAAAGGATTATCTTGGCAGGCGAAAACATATGGAAACCTCCTGCATCGAGGCTAGAAGATAAAAGTGATTATAGTGAAATTACTTCCAAACAATAGGCCTATATTTTTGACTGATGCTAAAATGGCTGCACTGGAATATGAAGTCTTTTAGTTCTTTTAGTTTTCTTCAACTGGTCCCAAAGGAAATTCAAACAAATGCAAAATTGATTTTAAAACTAGCTACTACGCCCTATAAAACATAAATATTTACCATAACTTCTACATAGTCTAACCTATCTTCTTTTTACTGCATTACAAGCTTAATAACTGCATAATTAAATTTATTCTGACATGTTAGCATAGGGTTGTTTATCACTAGAAAGATGTGAAACATATAAACTCAAAGCATAGCCTAATTTTACCGGTTTCGTTAGCTTCACTATGGCTAGTTTTAACAGTAAGATGTTAGTATCCTTTAAAATTTAGCTAATGTAGCTATTGGGAAAATAATGTAGAAAAAAAGATAGATTAATAGCGTAGCCCCAAGATGCTAATAGCGTAGTCCCAAGATGCTAACGTCCAAAAATGGTTGCTAACGGTCCCAACATGAGCACTCTCTGTTCCAACTGCACCGTGTCCTTTTACCCAGAGGTCGACGTCGGCAAAACTGTCATCATGGGGATCGTCATGGTGGTATTTTTCATTTTCGGCGTCCTCGGAAACATGCTCGTCATCTTGTCCGTTTTGTTCCACCACCACTGGCGCTCGGTGACGCACTACTTCATCGTCAACCTCGCGGCCGCCGACCTCCTCCTCAGCTCGGCGGTCATGCCCTTCTCCGCCGCGTCCGAAGCTCTGGGTCGCTGGGTTTTCGGACGAACGTTTTGCAGCGTGTGGGCGGCGTTGGACGTTCTGTGCTGCACCGCGTCGATACTCAGCCTGTGCGTCATCTCCATCGACCGCTACCTTGCCGTTAGCTACCCGCTGCGTTACCCCACCGTTGCGACCGGGAGACGATGCCTGGCCGCGGTGGCTTGCCTGTGGGGACTCTCGGCGGCTATCTCCGTTGGGCCGCTTTTCGGATGGAAGCAGCCGCAACCGGAAGACGAAACGGTGTGTCAGATCACGGAAGAGCCCGGATACGCCCTGTTCTCTGCTCTTGGTTCATTCTACATACCCCTGGCGATCATCCTGGTCATGTACTGCAGAGTGTACACCGTAGCGACCAGGGAGACCAAGAGTTTGAGGAAGGGGAGCAAAGGGGAGAACGCGGAGGGAGTGACGTTGAGGATACATCGAGGGAACGCCGGACATTCGGACAAGCAGGACAGCGTAAAGCATAAGCGCGCCTCCTTCGCTGTACTGAAGAGGATCAAGTTTTCCAGTGAGGAGAAAGCTGCGAAGACTCTGGGCATCGTCGTGGGGTGCTTCGTTCTCTGCTGGCTGCCGTTCTTCCTGGTGTTGCCCATAGGTATGTGCCACTTCTGCACTACAATACACACTTTCCTTCTTTGTTTATTTTTTGTTTGTCAGGGACCATGTTCAAATTCATTAATCATATAGAAGAAAAGTAGCCTGATTCATCAGCCGGTTTCGCTTCGTGGAAGCCGTCTAACCTTGCAGCATTAAGATTTGTTCACTCGACAGTAGGCGGGTACTTTTTTATTTAACCAATCGCTGCTATTTGGTCATGACGTATGTAAGGCACCTTTAACGGGGCTAACTGGTATATTAAGTTTTTCCCAAATCCCGTAGGAAGAAGGACAATAACGTCTTTCCCCTTGATAAAATTCACCAAACATTCTCTTTGTTCCGGCTTTAAATCCTCGATCTCAGGAATCGTTGCCAACACAGAATGTATGGCTTTGTCTACATCCACCTCAACCGCTTTGTTTACTGGTGTGTTGTACCACAAAAGGGGACCCAGTCATGGCTTCACAGCTCTTCAATGATTGGCCGGTATGCGGTCTACAACTTCCGGGGTTCTTGCAAACGTCGAGTGTATTCCAATTCCTGAACTAGTTGCTGGAGAGAAATGAAATTGAGCAGAGGCACTAGATAGCGCCAGTCTGGCTAAAAAAAAGATCATTTATACCACATTTAGCTGCTGCTACTTTCCATCTGCAGTCCCTGGGCAGATGAACACACATTATAAATACATATTTCATTACCATTACATTATAAGACTAACTTAGGTTCATTATAATGCAATAAAATGTGCCCATTTCCTATACAGTACGTTTCCTACAATCCATAGATGTCAGTTAAGGGTTAAGTAACACAACAAGGGTGCAAGCAGGTGATGCCGGGTTCCGCCACCTATTCCAACATCCCTTCATTATGACATGTCTCTATTTATGCCGGTTTTCTGACACTTTTTAGTATCTTTATAGTATCTTCATTCTGACACATCGTATACGAAATGAATGAAACACAAAGGGCCCATGCAGCCTCCGTTTTAGATTAGATTAGAGCCTTTTCCTGAAGGCTGGCCTATGCACTTTTATAAAATGCATGATTGTTTTCCACGGCTATCAGTTCGGACATTTTCCCACTGTGATATCCTATGTGGCCGAAGTATTCTCTGATTAAGTGTTTTGCACCGGCGCAAGCATCTTATGATATTTGGGAGCGCAAACTTTAATAGGCCATCACATTATTATTCTTCATGTTGAAAAATCAGAATGTTTGAAAAATAGTAAAGTGCCGCTACTCTGACAATGGGGGGGGGGAAGAGTTGCAGTACTGGGAGACTGAAAAGTAATGTTTATGCCGCTACTCCGACAATTAGACGTCAATGTCTAAATAGCGGCATGTCGGAATAGCAGCATGTAACCAGTGACGCCACAAGTCCCAAGCCACAGGTCAAATCTACAGAATTGTAATCGAACTGATGGGCGACTGAGAGATTACATTGAGATCTAACTTATAGTAAGAATGCATGAAAGATAGTTAGAAGTGAAATGCCATACTGTGGAACATTCCAGACAAAGTAATACCATTATCAACATCACCACCACCACCCAAGGACACTGAACAGGGGTAAAGGTTAGAAAGAGAAAATTTGTTTTCATAGGACCCAGAAAACCACAAACGTTACATTGTGTCCCTTGAAGTCGGATCCATCGTGTGTTTGTTAGAGCTATTCATTAATCAAATTTTAATCAAAACTGAGATTCAGATCGTCAATGATCAACTTGGGTCTTTTTAATGGAGATGTCTACAGCCAAACCTCTGTCTGTAAAAACCTGGTGTGGTGCCTCCCTCTGTAAGCTGCAGCTGTGAGCATTGTCTTTTTTGTCTTAAAATGTTTGCATTAACCCGCTCTACATGATCCTGGTGTTTTTATTTGGCTGTTTTGTGAATAATTTCCTATTTCTAATATAGAACTCCAATTTCACTTCTATAACTGCTTGCCTCGTAAGCTTCATTTGACTGGATCTGAACACTATGGCTACGTTTACACACTGAAACGAATTGCACATCACCATATCGGAAAGGATCTGCGTCCAGACACGTCGTTTTTGTGTCCACAATCAAAGCCTTCCCTATCCACACAGCTTTGCGCATATTTGTTTACGTTTTACAGAAACAAAACTTAAAACCACATGGATAATTTGCATAAACTAAACGCTCAAAAAACAGTTCGCTATTGTGCGCTGATGTGGTTCAGCTTCTGTCGGACTAAAGGACACGACTCAGTGGAATATGAGTGTTCTTTCTGTGACAGAGGGATGTTCTGCTGATGATGAGTCTGTTCTGTGCTTCTATCACGTTGGAGATGGTTCATGTTAAACTTTTCAGAGATTATCCGTCTACAGGTCATACACGTAGAGCGTATATATGAATTGACATATATTCTAGCCTCTTAGGGTTTTGGTGGTGAATTACTTCGCAGCGTATAGACCTACACCAGCGTATCAGCATTTCAGGCGTCCACACAGTGCTGGATCAGATTCGTACTCAAATGAATTCGTTGGAGCTGGCAGCACCAGATCGTTTTCAATCAGATTAGTAAGGACGAACCGCAGCGAAAACGACTCGAAAATGTCTCAAAAACGTCTTAGTGGACGGTGCCTCTGGGTGACATCACACTCTTGTAAGTCCACTTCTTTGTATGAGCTTCTTCTATGGACACTGCATGGATTTTAATAGTCTCATAGTCTCTTTTCCACACACTCAAACTCACTTCACAATTTTACGTTTCTGACTCTGTGGCATATTATAACGTTATATTTCTCTTGCCATGTCAGTCTAACTGTAGCGATAGTGGCAGTGGATGATTGTCTGTTTGCGTAGGTCTATGTGTCTGTCCTGTTATAGCCCTGCAACAAACTGGCCATTGTCCACTGTGTACCCTGCCAAAGGCCCAAAGTTGTGGCCCGTAACAGGATTTAGCAAAAAGAAGATGAAGCAATGAAAGGTCGGTGCCAATTTGGTACCATTTTTGTGAATAGACTTTTTTCTTGTGTTCAGCATTAGAAATCATTTTTTGAATCGAGCTAGATGGAAAGACATTTGTTTTGTTTATCTAATGAGACGAGCGATTAAAAACTTAATTAGCACCAAGCCCCTACGCAAACGTCGTAATTGTTGTTGTATGAATGTTTTAACCGATGTTGACAGTGATCAGACAGCAAATTAGATTGAGGGTCGGGGTAGGGAAAACCGATAGAAATGAGATCAAACTCTGGCTGGGGTAATGGACTGTACCAAGGTAGCCACGAGCAACCTCCAAGCCTATCAAAGCTCTTCATTTTGAGTTTTCAGAAAGTGGCCCTTAATTCCATGTGTGCTCGGAGGGTCCAAACACAGACAAGCAATATCCGCTGGAAAGCTTCTGACAGGGCATTGGTCATTTCAGGTCTGCTCTGAGATGTGTGTTGGGGTAACTATTAGCTATAAATAGAGTTCTTCCTTCCTGCCGGATAAAAGAATAAAAAACTGACAAAAGAAAGAAGATAGAAGTAATAGAAGTAGGAATACCCGGGTACTATTTGATGCTGAAACTATATTAAAACTGCACTCCTTTGACAACTTTGGTAACAATTTGAAATCAGACTATGTTTTGAATAGTTTGAAAATGGTCTTGAACTTTTTTTTTTTTTTTTTTTTTTTTATTGCATCAGAGCACAATATAATATTAATTAAATGCCTTTTGTGTTGAAAATTACACTTTATTGCAGGGGCTGGCAACCCACGGCTCTTTCATCCTTCTGTAACTTTGTAATTAAATACTCATTATTTATATTCCAATGTTTTTTTTTTTTTTTTTTAGTTTATTCGTTTTTAAATGTAATTCTAAATTTGTAGATAAAGGGGTCCGGTCAAGTTGTAAAACATGAGGGAAAACGGGGCAAGAATTTTTGACAATTCATTAATGTCTTAACTTATTACAGAAACTAGAGGGAACAAATTTGAAAATGAAAGTAAAAGTTCAATGAATGTAGGAAAAGATGTTACACATCCAACAGGGTCAATGTTTGCCTGTGGATTTCTTTCAAAGTTGTTGACAAAAAATGTTTAAAAGCATGTTTTTAACCAGACAGGGTTTAACCAGCCTTTTTGGTAGGTAAATAATGAATAAATCCAAGAAAAGAAAAGTTTCTGAATAAAACAGAACATTTAATGCTACGTGGGCAGATTCATTTGCGTTCACGACTGATGAGACTGAGACATGTGGAACTACGCACGATAAAATGATGAGGGAACATAGAAGCAGACGGCAGTTTTGGTTCACTTCGTACGAGGAGGACTCAAATATACACTGAGTAAAAATGTGTTTAATGCAGCTTTGTACATATGTGTTTACCTTTTACAGAAACTAAACTTAAAACCACATGGCTCATTTGCATAAAGTATAAGCGCTCTTTGTGTCGCTGATGCGTCAGCTTCTGTTGGACTACAACTCAGTGGAATATGTGTGTTCTTTCTGTGATAGAGGATGTGCTGTTGATGGTGAGTCTGTTCTGTGCTTCTATCGAATTGGAGGTGGTTCATGTGAAACTTTTCAGAGATTATCCATCTGCAGGTCAAAAACACAGACTGTATATATGAATGGACAAATATTGTCTGTAGCATTTCATTGTTTTCATAAATGCAACACATTCTAGTCTTTTATACAGAGCTTACAGGAAAAAAAAGAAATGCAGTGTTGTCCTCAGTTGAGAGTCAAAAGGGTTGTGTGGCTCCGGGTGTTTTTCTTTTCTGCGGGAGACGCTCCAAAGGGCTCTTTGAGTATTTGCCGACCCCTGCTCTATTGTATAAAGGAGTGAAAGGAGAGGTTGACTGAAGGTGCACCATTACTATATGTTTCTGGGACAGGGTCTGAAATGTTCCGCAGTATGGCATCAAACATATCTCCCAGAAGAAAAGCAGGTGACGCCACAAGCCAAAGTTCAAGGTCAGATCGGTGGAGTTGGGTCCCCGCACACATTCAGAATGCATGTGGTGTTTTTCAGCATAACAACA